CAGCCTGCACGACCCCCCACCCCCAGAGCCTGCATGAGCCCCCAACCTGCACGACGCCCCAGCCTGCATGACCCCCCACCCCCAGGGCCTGCACACACCTCCAGGAGCTGCGGGGAGGGGAGGCAGGCTCGCTGTGGGGAAGGCTGTGTCTTCCTTCTGGGATCTGGGTCCTTGAAGAGGCCCTGTGGCGCCCTGGCCCTCCGGGGCTGGTAGCCTGCCTTTCCTCACCTTGGACCCCTTTGCCTCCCCTCCAGAGACAGAGCGGTGCCCGTGGCCAGGGAGGGCACCCCAGGCCCCCCGTCCCCACTGCTGCTCCCCTCCCCTGGCAGCTGGAAGACGGTCCCTCAGGAGACACCGGCAGGTTCCGGGGAGAACCACACGGGCCCAGGTCCATGGGGAGAAGTCCTGTGGAGCGGGGGAGAGGCCAGGGGCTGGACACCCATGGGTGCTGCCCACTCTGGCCTGGGTTGAGCTGCCCGCTCTGCGCGCCTCCCTGGCCCACATCCCGCTTCTCCTCCCACAGAAAAGCCAACGGGCCATAGGACGTCACCAGGCACCAACCTGCCTGAGCCACGCACCCCAGACATGGTGAGGGCAGGGGTCCCTGACCCACCACTCCTGGGGACAGGCAGGGCTCTCTGTGCACCAAGCCTGCATGGCAACCTCACGCCACGCAGGCCTGTGCCCTGCCGGCTGGTGACACTGGGCTGCACTGGCCACAGGAGCAGGCCAGGCTGGCAGAGAGGGGGGACCCCCAAGCCAGGTCGCCCCGCCAGGCTGACCTCCTGCCCCCCACAGAGCCCCCAGCGCATATCCAACCAGCTGCATGCCACTGTCGCCGTGGTACGGCCTGGGTCCCGGGCCTGCCCTGCTGACTGCGGCCCCTCCGGCAGGACATCCCCACCCACGACCACCAGGAGCAGCCCAGCCAGCCCAGTATATGAGCACAGCGCCCCCCTGGACAGGTGAGGCCCCACCCCCACCGTCCCTGACCCCCCGGGCCACCTTCTGGCAGCGGACTAGCAGCCCAGGAAACCAGCATGGCCCCTCAGGGCCCTGCCTCCCTCCAGCTTGGCTTTCCCAGATGTCCCACCTGGTACCGCGTTCTCACGTGGACACCTGCGTGGCCAGGCTGTGGGGGGGTATGTCCAGGAAGCATGCTCAGAGAGACCCCCATGCCTGTCTCGTGGTCTGAGTTAGTGAGCGGGGCTGAGGAGGGAGGACTGTAGGCGGGACCAGCGGCTGATGGTCCTGCTAGGATGATAGAACCATGGGCAGCTTGCTTCAGCCCGCGGGCCTCAGTTTCCTCCCCTGTGAAATGGGGTGCTTTCTGTCACTCCTCTGGGGGCTTGCTCACTTCCAGTCACTGCTGACCACCAGCCACAGTCCTGGGCTTTTCCTCCCTCCCAGCTTCCTGCGGGCCTCCCGGTCCTCGGCCGAGGCCTTCGAGTCCCTGAAGCGCTCCCTCCAGGCCGACCGCCGCTGCCTCCTGAACCGCCAGCTGTCCCTGCGCCTGCGCAGCCCCCACGGGAGCCCCCTGGCTGTCCCCAGGGCTCCCCACAGCCCTCAACTCCAAGGCCTGAAGGCTCAGGACGCAGAGGCCTGGGAGGAGCCCACGGGCCTGCTGGGCCTGCCCAGCGCCTTGGTGGGCATGCAGGACCCACGGCTGGAGGGGGCCCTGCACCTGCTTCTGGCCCAGCAGCAGCTGTGGGCTCGGGCACGGGCGAGCAGGCTGCGGGACTCACCCACACCCAGAGAGTCGCCCGTGTCCCCGCCAGCTGGCTCCGACTGGGAAAGCCCTGGGAGCCAGGTGCTCCGGGCAGGCGTCGGGACAGCGGTCCCTCCAGGCGGGTGGCACTCTTCCCCTACGGGCCCCAGCGGCCTCCAGAGGAAAGAGGGCAGCGCCACTCAGGACTGCGCCTCAGACAGACCCCTGGACCTCTCAGACCCGGCCCGCTGCCGCGACTCCAGACCCAGCGGCCAGCACAGACCCCTCCGCCCTGCAGCTGCCCCCGCGCCGAGCCCCGAGCCCCTCGAAGGAGCGGTGCCTGCCCTGTGCACGCCCCTGGCTCCCGGTCCCCAGGCATGCAGCAATGGCATCAAGGGAACCAGAGTGACAGAGCGTGAAGAACTCTCCATTCCCACGGTAAGGGTCTGGCACGGGCCGCGGGCTCTGCTCCTGCTCCCAGCCTCCGTGTGCCCCAACTGCACGCTGGCCTCCGGCCTCCACCCCAGGCAGTCAGTGCCAGGCAGCACTGAGTGCCCCGTCACCACTGGGAAGGCCAGTGGCTCGGCATCATCCAAGCTACTCCGGAGGCTGAGAGCTGAGGATCTCAGCTCAAAGCTTTCCCAGGCAAGGCTAGCCCACCAGACTCTATCTCCACTTACCCACCACAAAGCTGGAAGTGGAGCCAGCCTGGTCAGCAAAGTCTGTAAGACTCGTATCTCCAATACACTACTCTGAAAAGAAACAGGAAATAGTGTTGTAGCCAGAAGTGGTAGGGCTCTAGTCTTGAGAAAAAAAAAAAAAAAAACTCAAGGACAGTGCCCAGGCCCTGAGTTCAAGACCCAGTACTGGAACCTCCCCCCCCAAAAAAAGGGGGGATAGAGCTGACCCTCCAGCTACAGCCCCAGATAGGGCCCCAGGCTGCATCCAGGGCTGAGAAGTAGAAAATGACCCCCAAAGAACTCAAGCCACTTACTTGCCTCCCCCAGGAAGCCTCACCCCCTTGTCCAGGGTCCCCCCACAGACAGCCCAGTCCTGGTGGGATGGAAGGTGAGGCTGGAGGAAGACTGAAGCGGGGGCCCTGCCCGCAGAGGACGGATGGTGACCGGTCCCCAGGTGAGGTGAAGCCCTGGGAGGGGGGCCTCCGTGGGTGGAGGAGCCGTGGCCAGCCACTCACCCAACTGGCCATGCCCTGCTCCCGGGGCTGGTGCCTCCCACGTGGGAGCTAAGCGCTGGGGACACGGTGCCCAACCACCCCCAGCACGGAGAGAGCCATTCCCGGTGCCGCCCTGCAGTGATAGTGCAGGTTAGGCCTCGGTTTGCACCCAGCCGGCCTCTAACCAGCAGGAACCCTAGCCCCTCCGTGTCCTCCTGCCCTGGCCACTGGCCCAGCTGCCCCCACCCCCGCATCTTGTAGAGCCCAGCAAGGCTAGCGTGCAGAGGCCAGAATCGGATGCACTGGACGAGCCTGCTGCCTCACACAGCGAGGTGAGTCCCGGCCCCTCTCCCAGGCCGGCCCTGGCGCTGCGGCCCGGGGGGTATGTACTCCCTGACCTGAGCGCGTCCCCTCTGCCCAGGCGGACGCAAGCTGTGAGGTGGGCACCAAGCTGAGCCTGCCCGTGAAGGGGCCTCCTCAGGATCTACAACAGAAGAGGAAGTGGGACCTGGCCCTGGGGGACACAGGTACGCCTGCCCAGGGCTTGGGGGGCCTCAGCCCTCTGTTCCCACGCCCTCTCCCTGGGGCCAGGGCTGCCCTCCACGGGCCTGGCTACCTGGCCCACGCTCTGAGTGCTTAACCTGCTTCCTCTCCTGGGAGAGGGCAGACACGGGAGCTCTGGCTTTCAGCTGGCTGGGATGAAGGCCCACGAGGGTGGAGGCCCAAATTGGAGGCTGGGGCTACCATCACCACGGCCCCAGGGAGTGAGGGTCACCAGCCGGCTTCCCTCAGGATGACTTCATAAGCCCTGTCACCTTCCAGAGGGAGCGCCCACGGGCGCCCCCACCCACACTGGCTGGGTCCCACCGGGAAACCGGGCTGCTTGCATTTGCCCGGGGTGGTGCCTGGGGCTCAGCTCCTCCCCATAAAGCTGCTGGGGCAAGCCCTGGTCCCAGGATGTCAGGCCAAACCTCCTCTTCCTGCTCTGCTCACAACTGCAGAGGCTTTGCACACCTAAGCTAACCATCAGGCAGCCCTGGTGTTTGTGCAACCAGGGCTCCAACTCCTCAGGCCGGGCTGGGCCTCCACCATGCACCATTGCTGCCCTGAAGGTGGCTGAGGCCTGTGTGCTCCAAGCCGAGACCAGCACATCTGTGTCCTTTCCAGGCTCTTCCATGCACACCCGTGCAGGACCTGTCCTGTATGCTCTCCCGGCATTTCTGTGCACATGAGTGTGGAACTCGTCCTGTGTCAATTCCAGACTCTTCATGCACACATGTGTGGAACCTGTCCTGGGTCTTTTCCCGGCTCCACCATGTGTGTGCAACCTGTCATGGGTAGGGTGCTGTCCACCTCCACCCTGAGCAGCACCAGCCCCCTAACCTCAGCCCACCCCCAGCCCACCCTCCTGGCCTGGTCAGGGTGGGACTCCCTCAGGCAGCAGCCACTCAGCACTTGCCTAGCTGGGCACCACTCAAACCTGGCACTGGCCAAATACCCTCTTGTGCTGAGCAGAGTGGGAAGGACGAGGTCAGCAGGGCCTCCAGCCCTGCCCAGCAGGTGGAGCATCCCTGCTTCCTGGGCGGAAGAGGTCAGCTTGCAAAGTCACGGGGCCAGTGAGGAACCCTGGTTCCCCAGGCCATCCCAGGCCCTCTGCGGAGCAGCGAAGGAGTCAGAGGAGCCACGCTTGTGCAAATTCTCACAGTCCTCTATCCCCTAGCCCCTGGTGCTTGCTGCTGCTGGGAGCAACAGTAACTGGCCACGTTCACCAAGGAGGGCTCCCCTGAGCTAAGGTCACGGCTCTGTCTGAGAGCCGGTCTCCTCTAAGGAGGACACACAAGGCCACAACCACACCTCTGCCTGATGTCCGTCCACTTTCCACAGCTTCCAAGGAGCCATCCTGCGGGAAGAAACCCAGGGTGTCCCTGACAGCAGCGGAGGAATCTGAGAGTGTGCCGAGCCCTGAGGACCGCAGCCCCTCCCCTGGGAGCAGCGGCTGGGAGAGCTAGCCAGGCTGCGCCATCTCCACTGCGGCTCCTCCACCACACGGGTCAAGTCACTTAACCAGCACGGCTGTGGCCTGGGTCCAAGTGTGGCTGGCATGGCCAAGACAGCCCTTTCTGGCCCCACACCTGCTCCCCGGGAGGGCATGCCTGGGGAGCAGAGGGTAGGGCTGCTCGGGCCCTGTGCAGACTGACCTCGCTGCCCATGGGGGCAGTGCCCCCAACTGTAAAGGCTGTGAATCCTGCCCAACCTCAGGACCAGGCAGGGAGCTCTGAACAGTGGTCTCGGGCGCCCCCTTATGGAATCCAGGAAAACAAATGTGAGGCTGAGGGAAGGCCTGCCGGCTGCATCCTCCTATTCAGGATCAGAGACTTCAGCAATAAACCTGTGACATCTGATACCTCATCAAAGTCTACTTCATATGGAAGCAGTCACCCACCCCCAGCACCAGTGGCTCACGCCTGTAATCCAGATACTCGGAAGGCTGAGTATCCTCAGCATCGAGACTCAAAGCCAGCCCAGGCAGGAAAGTCCATGAGACTCTCCAATTAACCAGCAAAAAAGCTGGAAGGGAGCTGTGGATAAAGTGGTAGGGCAATAGCCTTGAGCAAAAAAGCTCAGGGACAGCATCCAAGCCCTGAGTCCAAGTCCCAGGACTGACACCAAGAATAAATAAATAATCTGCCCTCCTAAATTTCCATCAAAATGGCAGTTGAAGAAAACAACAAAAGCTGGCAGGGGGGCTCATATATTAAAAACAGCACTACCTTACAACCCCACCATCCCTGGGCATAGATCCAAAACAGTCACCAATATGCAAGGCATTTGCAAACCCTTGTTTACTGCAGCATTGTTCATTACAGCCTAACTATAAGAGTCAGCCAAGGTGTGCAACCGTTGGCGAATGGATAAAGAAAAACAATATATATACATTACTCAGCCATAAAGAAAAATGAACGTACTTGTGTATGGTATATTAAATAGGTAGGTTTCATTAGGTATCTGATGGAGAGAACACCACCTGCTAGTCAAGCAGGAAAAGAAGTTTATTTACCGAACTGGTGCCCCCCGCTGTGCACGGTGGAGCAGGAAAGGGGCGACCCGCCCTGGGCCAGGACTGAGCTGGGCCAGGTCAAGGGGCAGACCTTACAATCTGCACAAGAGTGGCTCAAGCTGAGACCGACGTGGTGCGTGCGATGAGCCAGCCCCAAACACCAGCAAGTGTCACACGCTTTCATTCATTTGTGGAACCCAGACTTGAGAGATGCGCCCACGCACACGCCCACGCAGCACCGCACACGCACACAGAACCACACCCCAAAAGAACAGAGAAGGCCCGAGGAGTCGGGCGCAGGTCAGGGACACTCAGGCCCGAGCAGCCGACGGCGAGGGCCGTGCAGGAGCCTGCCTGCGCTGAGGCCGAGCCCTGCTCGGCTGCGCGGCCGTCCTCGCCGGGCTTCCAGCCCACGGACCCTCGGTCTCCCCGCCAGGCCTCCCGGAGGCCGTGGGCCTTCCCGAAGGGCCGCGCCGTGCGCCCCGAAGCACCTCGGTGCCAGAGGTCAATAGGAAGCTCGGGCTGGAAGGGGAAGTGCGCCGGGCCGGCCCTCGCCCCAGCACCTGGGCCGCGACCGCGGCGTCGCAGCC